AGCTACCCCAGAGGATAGACAGCTCAGCATAGCTTATAGACTTGTGAATAGCTAGCACCGCCCTCAGGGCCAAGGAGCAGCATGGGTGGGAGGGACCTCAAGTTCCTAAGAAATGAACAGAGCTATTTGGAGCTTTGCTCCAATGGCCAAAATTACTGCTGACCAGGTACATGCTGCTGAGCTCAATGTCATTCCACCCTTGCTGAGGTCTGTGTGAATTTCATTCACTCCATCTTTCTTTCCTCCAGGCTCACTCTGGGCAAATGAAATAAATACAGTTGTGTATAGTGAAACAATGGGGATATGTTCTAAGAAATGCGTCATTAGGCAATTTCATCATTTTGCGAACATCCAAGGGTGGGGAACCTGCGGCCTTAGGGCCATATGTGGCCTTCTGGATCCTTGAGTGTGGCCTTTTGACTGAATCCAAATTTTACAGAACAAATCTTTTTTTTTTTTTTTTATTTTTTTTATTTTTTTTTTTTGAGACAGAGTCTTGCTTTGTTGCCTAGGCTAGAGTGAGTGCCATGGCGTCAGCCTAGCTCACAGCAACCTCAAACTCCTGGGCTCAAGCGATCCTTCTGTCTCAGCCTCCCAAGTAGCTGGGACTACAGGCATGAGCCACCATTCCCGGCTAATTTTTTCTATATATATTAGTTGGCCAATTAGTTTCTTTCTATTTATAGTAGAGACGGGGTCTCGCTCTTGCTCAGGCTGGTTTCGAACTCCCGACCTCGAGCGATCCGCCCGCCTCGGCCTCCCAGAGAGCTAGGATTACAGGCGTGAGCCACCGCGCCCGGCCAGAACAAATCTTTTTAATAAAGATATTTTCTTCTGTGAAGTTGGGATTCGGTCAAGGGGTTGTACTTGGGGATCTGGAGGGCCACATGTGGCCTTGTGGCTGAGGTTATTGTCTGCAGGCAATTGTAATACAATGGTAAGCATTAGTGTATCTAAACATAAAAAAGTTAATGTGTTGCACTAGGTCGTTACCATGGCTACCACATCACTGGGCAATAGGAATTTTTCAGCTCCATTATAATCTCATGAAATCACTGTCATTTTTGTGATCCATTGTTGACCGAAATGTCGTTATGTGGTACATGACTGTATATATTAATATATTTCACTTTCCAATGTCTTTCTTGTCCATTAGATAATTAGATAATTATTTAGAACACTTAGCACCTTGCTTTTTTTTTTTTTTTTTTTAGTTTCTCACTCTGTTGCCCGGGCTAGAGTGCAGTGGCTTCAGTCTAGCTCACACCAACCTAAAAATCCTGGGCTCAAGCAATCCTACTGCCTCAGCCTCCCGAGTAGTTGGGACTACAGGAGTGTGCTACCACACCCAGCTAATTATTTTTTCAGAGACAGAGGTCTCACTGTGTTGCTCAGGTTGGTCTCGAACTCCTGGCCTCATTTGATCCTCCTGACTTGGCCTCCAAACATGCTAGGATGATAGACACGAGCCACCGTGCCCGGCCAGCCTTGCTATTATTATTGTTGTTATTGTATCGTAACACTGTTCAGAGAAGATCTGATGGCTTCAGAAATATATTCTTATTTTGACATTGGTCTTTTTCCAACTTACATCTGTGGACATTTATAACCATCTCTTCTAGACTGTCCAAAGTCAAGTCAGACATCTTTATATCCCAGGCAGTATTCTGCTCAGAACTTAATAAGTGCTGGCCGGGCGCGGTGGCTCACGCCTGTAATCCTAGCACTCTGGGAGGCCGAGGCTGGAGGATTGCTCGAGGTCAGGAGGTTGAAACCAGCCTGAGCAAGAGCAAGACCCCGTCTCTACTATAAATAGAAAGAAATTAATTATGGCTAACTAATATATATAGAAAAATTAGCCGGGATGGTGGGCATGCCTATAGTCCCAGCTACTCGGAGGCTGAGGCAGAAAGGATTGCTTGAGCCCAGGAGTTTGAGGTTGCTGTGAGCTAGGCTGATGCCATGGCACTCACTCTAGCCTGGGCAACAAAGTGAGACTCTGTCTCAAAAAAAAAAAAAAAAAAAGAACTTAATAAGTGCTAAATTAACATCCTTCTAGTTGAATCCACATTTCAAGAGGTTTAGAGAGGTTAAAAGAATTGCCCAGGGCTGTATCAGTTTCCTGTTAAGAACATTTAATGAACATTTAAGAGGGCTTTAATGCAGGGAATTAGTTACAAAGGTGTTGGAAAGGTTAAAGGAGTAAAAGAGGTTGGTGTGGCTCAGACCCAAGGAAACTGCTATTATTCCAGAGGAGAGGGTGTTAGCCAATATCAGAAAATTGCTGCCACCCAGAAACTGAAGCTCACAAGCCCATACTACTGATATTACCTAGGTCACTGCTGCCACTGCAGCTCCACAAGCAGAATGGCTTCCACCTTCTTCCTGCCTTCTAATCTAACATGACTGCCTCCTGTTGTCAGAGCCCAGCTGGCAAAGGAGTCTGGGAAATGTGGTTTGTAGGCTTCCAGCCCTGGTGATGGGGTGAGTGTGGAGCTGAAGGTCAACAGACAATATTTAGGATAGATGATGGGGCCAGTGCTGATTCCACTGAACCTCCTGTAGTGGGAGAGGTCTGCAGGAGAAGAGCTAATCTCCATAATAGAACTTTTCAGCAGTCCCACCCCAGGGTCTAAGGAAGGAATTATTTAGCTGCTGTTAGCCCTGCCTCTCTTGGAATAGCACAGCCAGGTAGAGACAGAGTTCCCTAGTCCAAACAATAGTCCCTGAGGCCTCCCTTACATGAGGGCCTGGGACTTTAACGTGAGTCATGGTCTTTTCTCAGAAGTTCATCAGAGAGAAGTGACAAATGGGAGCACAGCACATGCAGCAACCCCAACCTACTGAGAGTGTAAGTTCCAACGATTCGGGAATTTGGACCTTAGTGATCTTTTACTTTGCCCCCTTTCTAACATCTCTGAGATTGGGAAGGTCCACATTTATGGAGTGAATCTGGGCTGTGAAGAAAGCCAGATGTGATCTTGCACATATTTATTGACCAGAATTATCCAGTCTGGTTGTCTCCTCCACACAGCTTTATCTGATCAGATAATAGTTAATGTTTTCCCTGACACTGCCCATATGGACATGGCTTTGTGGAATCAATTCTCTCTTGCTAAAGCTGGGGCAGGGAAAGCAGAACTAGCTATGATTACTCTGGCATCGCAAGCAGAGGTGGTTTTCCCTCTCTGTGCTGCCTGCTGCCCCAGCCTTAAACATAAGCTATAGACCCCAAAGAGATCATGGCAGAGATTGGAACAATATGTGACCAAGATAGCCCTATTTGTCTTTGGCATACACCACCATTGAAATAAATGAATGAGAAGAGATCTAAATGCTCTACCCCTCTGACCAAAAATTTACCACTCTGGTTTGTCATGAGAGAAAAAAAGATGCATAAATTTACTTGGCAGTGTCTTTAGTCTATCTGGAATTGATTTTTGTGTGTGGTGTGAGATAGGAGTCCAATTTACTTATTTTTTCCTTTTACACACAGAGATCCAATTGTCTCAGACAATTTATTGAACAATGCATCTTTTTTCACTGATCTGGAATACCACCTCTGCTATATATCATGTCTCTGATTTGTGTAGGCCTATTTCTAGGCTTTCTATTCTGTTCCATTGGTCTCTTTATCTGTAGTACAATACCATACCACCTTAATTACTATACCTTTATATTGACTTTTTATCTGGTAGGGCAGTTCTCCTTGCCTTGTTCTTCAGGAGTAATTTAGATATTCTTATCTATTTGCATTTCCATATAAATTTTGGAATCAGCTTCTCAGCTTCCACAAATGTCTCTTGGGGTTTTGATTAGGTTTGCATTGAATCTATGGATCACCTGGGGGAGAAATGACATTTTTACAATTAGTCTTCTAACCCATGAACATGGTATATTTCTCAATTCATTTTGATCTTTAATATCTCCTAATAAAGTTTTATAATTTTTTCCATAGAAAATCAAATCATTCTATTTTCTTTAATTTTCCCTGAAGTTGAGATACTGAGTACTGAGATACTGGGTACTGAGTACTGAGATACTGAGTACTTCCTGATCACCTTTACATTAATGGAATAAATTTTTTGGGTGGGGCCTCCATATTGTTTCATTCCAGAAGGCACCATTCACATTTTTAGTAAACATGTTGTAGACTACAGTATGAATGGTGGTCCTGCCTGTAGGGTGCTGGCATTATAGGTGAAGAATTTCCTATTAAACTTTCCACCTTGTGTGTGCCCTGAGCATAGTTGCCAGTTCCCTGACAAGGAGTTCAAAGAATTGAGTAATGTTACTATAACAAAACTCCTTCTATTACTATTTACTTATTTATATGAATAATTTTTCTCAGTGCTTGCATTTATAAAAATGAAAAATAGGTCGCTCAAGCTCAGGAGTTCGAAACCAGCCTGAGCAAGAGTGAGACCCCATCTCTATTATAAATAGAAAGAAATTAATTGGCCACCTAAAAACATATAGAAAAAATTAGCCGGGCATGGTGGTGCATGCCTGTAGTCCCAGCTACTCAGGAGGCTGAGGCAGGAGGGTTGATTGAGCCCAGTAGTCTGAGGTTGCTGTGAACTAGGCTGATGCCATGGCACTCTAACCTGGGCAACACAGTGAGACTCTGTCTCAAAAAAAAAAAAAGAAAAATAGAGATATAATTGATGGTGAACATGTCTCAATTTAGCCATAAATACTAGTCAGCCATGGATACATGAGGTATTAAAAAAAGTCCATCCAACTTATTAAGTGAATATGGTTTAATAATTAATTTTTTAAATCTGTAATAAATTTATGTTGTTTTAATCAATTGGGTACTACTAATTAATATAATGATAACTTAATCTAGAAGAATAATTATTTAACACTTAGAGCCTTTTGGTCAAAGAAAATTAAACATTTATTTTAATTTCAAATATATCTATGTATATACTTTTGTACATGTATATATATGTACACACATATATATTTTTATTTCAGAAAAGTATAATAGGATGATTAATAAAAGGTTTTCAAACCTAAAATTATATTATATTAGCATAATATTTTGTGGGGGAGGTGAAATGGAATTATGACTTCTAGGAGAGAAAGGAAAAATGCAATATATCTAGCTGTTAAAGAAGAGCTTGTTCAGGTCTTTTAAAAAATTGATAGTGCTGGATATTAAATTACTACAGAATTCAGGATCCATTGGGTACATTTGATAAAATGATGTACATTTTATTTTAAAATGTCAATTTTAATATGTTGGAAATTATATCCTGTGATGGAAATCTATTCTCTCCATTATGGTAACTGAGATATGGCTACCCAACTAGGGACTAAATTTCCTAGTCTCCCTTAAAACTAGATGTTGAGAGAGAAAAGAAATTTTTATGTAAAGAATGCAAGCCCATTTAAATTATTGGGCCCAGAGAGGCATTGGAATGTGACAGCAGTCACATCTCACTCTGGCATTGAGCTAAGTAATAGCCTTTCCAGGCCACTTGCTATATGAGCTCTAGACTGACTGATGGCAAGTATCTATAAATTAACCTAACAATGCCATATACTGGACACCATAACTCATACCCTATAGCTCAACAGTGTATACCTAATCACTAATCAATGCTATTTCTGTAAACCAATGAGAATTCCTATCAAACAACTTTGTATCAGTCCACTCAATGTTTGTTCTCTTTTACATTTAAAAACTTGCTTGTAACAAAGGCCAAACAGCACTTCCCAGTGTTTACCCAGCTGCAGTCCTCAACCTTGACCCAAATAAACTCTCTATCTATATTCATTTTGCCTCAGTTTCTTTCTTTAGGTTTTGAATGTGACCATAGGACTTAGTTCTCATCAGTGAAATTTGAGCAGAAATAATGAGTACAAGTCTATTGCTTAAGAGACATTTCCTGGTCCTGGATGATCCTTCCTTCTGTTGTTCCACTGGCTGCAATGGAAATGACTACAGTGACCTTGGAAGTCTCATCTTAAAGATGGCAGATCTGTCAGAAGCCTAGATCCCTGTCTGACTATGTAGAGACCTGGAATCCTCAGGTCAGAATATGATATGAGAGAAATAGACTTCTTTGTTTTTTGTTTTTAGCTTGGTGAAATTTTAATTACATAAATTCATCAAAGCATATTTACATTACAGACAAGGAATTTGTAGTTCATTGTTGTAGCCTGACATAAGAAAAATACCCATTAAAAATCTATGCACAATGGGATTGCAAATATGTATAGTACTTTTAAAAAGCCTACAAGGAGGATTTTACAGAAGGAAAGTCAGCTAGGGTCTTTGTTAAACCAACTAGACAATCAAAATATTAAAACTGTGCTGGCTAGTAATATATTTATACTTTAAAAAACTTCTAGTTTCCTTTTAAGAATATTTCAGTTATATTTATATAGTTACAGTTGATCAGGCCGTTCATGATAGTTCCAGGAGATTGCCCTTCAATTCATTTGTTTAGGGAAAGATCAGCATGGTAACAAAAATTAATAAAGGGATTTTCCCCACAATAGTTTTCTAGTTATACTATCACAGCTTCACAAATGGATTAACCCCATGAATCCACTGGCTGAAAGACAGCTGCATGTCAAATAGTGAGAACACTGGTGGAGACAGGGTTGAGTCCTGCATAAGTGAATCAGAAATGACAGGTAGGGTTAAGAAAAAGATATGACCATATTTTATATAGCACTAGAAAACTGTCCCTACATTCAGCTCTCATTCCCATTCCTGCAAGGTAATGAAGCTGGGAATCACGACTGTTCAGTTTAACATATTATGGGAATTAGTAAAACAACCTTTCAGTACAAAAGGCTGAGATTTCATCAGCTTTTTGATTAGAACACCCTAAAGGTTGGACACTTCTTTGTGGTTCTCAAGCCATTACAGCTATCCAGTTGAAGCATGTGCAAAACAGAGGACTCTTCACAGTACATGAGGTAAAATAGAGTCGTCGTCTTCAGGGATTAGGAAGTTCATGAGATATGAACTGTTTTAGTCTCTCTAGGTATTGTACATAAAGCTCTCTGTCATAATGGCCAGTCCCAACCCAGAGGGGCTCCACAGTGCAGGGACAGTGCTCCTACATCGCTAGGCCATGGGAGAAATCAATGACCGCACCCTCCGCATGGTGAATGACCAACACAGAAGAGGTGACTGTAGATATCTTGTCAATGCCGGGGAAAGCATAAAAGCAGTATGTTTTCCTGGTATCCAGAAAAGCCACAAGCAAGGCAGACATCAGGGGGAACAGAGAATTACCGTTGCACACTCATATTGCAAAGCCAGTTTTACGGTGGGGACAGTGCCAGTGCTCTGACCATAGAGGATAATATTCTCAGGACTTAACGCTATACCAGGTGTGCAGCGCCTGCCACGGAGTGCCTCAGAAGGCTTGTCCAAGCTGACGACGTAGCCTGAGTAGTCACAGGAGAAGATATTGCAGTTGATGTGCCAGCAGAGGCCAATACAGACGCTGCACATCTGGTCCACGTCCACTGTGTTGCCATGCTAGAAGAGCAGCATGTACCGGGAGCCCGTTGTCCCCCGCCCCCATGCGTGAGAAGACCTTGACAGCATGGAGCTTGCACTGCAAGTACTGCTGTCTGTCCGGGACAATAGGCTCGGGCACTAGCACTGTGTAGGTGGGCTGAGGCGGCAGGAAGATCAGCTTGGCAGTGATGTGGCTTGGGCAGGCGGGCAGCACAGGAGCCAGCACAGCTCACGCAGAAAGAAGCCATTCATCCTGGGGCCTGGCTCAGACATCTGGGCAGCCAGGCATTCACTGCCCCAGGGAATGGCTGGATGGCCCTAGAAGGAGGGAGGGCAGGTGCAGAGCAAGTGAGCTCAGAGAGTGCCTCCTTTTTTTTTTTTTAGGCCTCCTAAATTTTAAGGAGCTTCTTCCTTAACTAATATAAGAATTGGTACCATGAAAGTGGAGCACTGCTATATATAACAAAAACCTAAATTTTGCAGTATTTGCTTAATGATCAGGCAGTGAATGATGAAGAAATATTAATAGTTTGAGCCATAAATCTGGGCATCTCAAGACAACTGGCAACTGTTACCTATATTAATTTGCAAGGCAGACCATGTGCCTATCAAGCCAGTAGCTCTAGGGCAAGAGGCAGAATGCTAACTTGCAGTGGTTTAGCAAAGTATTACAAGAAAGAGATGAGGTCAGGCAGGAAGTGGTCAGTCTGCAAACAGAGGTGAAAAGGAATAGAGAGAATCTTTATATTAAAAGCCTCACAGATTGGAAAATCCGATTGTTTCTGGACTCAAGAGATAAGTCTCTTATTCAGAGTTTATTTTGAGACTCATTAAAACCTCCACATCAAGCAGAAAGACAAACAATGGATCCAGCACTGTGGCAAGGATCAGATCATGATCATCACCCCTCCCCCCACAGAGCCTACTGTTTCAGATGGCATCAAGTTAGCTGTCATTAATAAGAGATGAGAGTCATGGAGACAATAAGGAAGCAAAGAGTAAAGCAGATCTAAGAATTATGTCCAGAAAATTACTTTGATTGTGTATACTGGCATATGAAAGTGACTGAAAGCAAACTAAATAGACACCTACTTTCATATTTCAATTCTAAGACACGCTTTTTTTTTTTACATTTTAACATTCTAGAAATCAAGAGTGTTTTACAATTGATAGTGAATTACAAACTCTCTTTGTCAAGCATCTATCCTGATGTATTTATTGAAACATGCAGGAATTTAGCCATGCAATTCATATTGCCATCACTTGAGTTGTATGTACTATTGATACATGTTAAGTTCAGTCGCCATTTAAAATGTTTTTTAAAATATTACACCATTATTTGGCTTTAAAATGAAAAGTTGTATTTGCGAAAAGGCAAGAGCAGCAAGGCATGAATTTTATATTAGCAAAGGTTCACATTTTTCTGGTAAGATCAAGATAATGTCAGCATCAAAACTTGCAAAGTGGCCGGGCGTGGTGGCTCACGCCTGTTATCCTAGCTCTCTGGGAGGCCGAGGCGGGAGGATTGCTCGAGGTCAGGAGTTCGAAACCAGCCTGAGCAAGAGCGAGACCCCCGTCTCTACTAAAAATAGAAAGAAATTAATTGGCCAACTAATATATATAGAAAAAAATTAGCTGGGCATGGTGGCACATGCCTGTAGTCCCAGCTACTCGGGAGGCTGAGGCAGAAGGATTGCTTGAGCCCAGGAGTTTGAGGTTGCTGTGAGCTAGGCTGACGCCATGGCACTCACTCTAGCCAGGGCAACAAAGCTAGACTCTGTCTCAAAAAAAAAAAACAAAAAAAACAAAAAAAAACTTGCAAAGTATCGCCAATGGCTGGGGAATTCCCAGAGATAATAGTGGAGCATTACTAATGCAGCATTACAAAGGATGATAATGTTTGGGAAAACTTGCAACAGCAAGAACCAGGTTGTGAAAATCATACAGCTCCCAAGAAGGGTATTTCCCCAAATTCCTCTTTGTATATGATCATGAGGAATGACAGACAAAGATGAACACCCCATAGAACAAAACCAGGCCCTCCCTCAGGACAGTGATCAAGAGAATTCTCTCCATCAACAGAATCAGGGACAGTGAGATAGTCTGGTCAAGGAGTTTCATCTACTGTCAGGGCTGGGAGGCTTTGCATTACCTGCTAAGTGGGCTTAACAATCACTATGAACCAGTGACTATTAGTGCTTCTAATTCTGTTTTTGAATGGTTTACATTATGGTTATCCTGTTCCCACATCACCATTGGATACTGAGGAGGAAGGGAACAAATAACTAGTCTTTTAGTTTGTAGATCTATAGACCATGAGGAGCCACACTCACTAAAATCCATTCTCCCTTCTTTCATAACAATAGAGTTGTAGCTAGGATGTGGCTGCCCTGCCTAGGACAAATTTTCCAGTTTCTCTTGGAGCAAAGCCATAGTCATGTGACAAAGATTTCTCCGATAAGGCCGGGCGCGGTGGCTCACACCTGTAATCCTGGCTCTTGGGAGGCCGAGGCGGGCGGATTGCTCAAGGTCAGGAGTTCAAAACCAGCCTGAGCAAGACCCCGTCTCTACTATAAATAGAAAGAAATTAATTGGCCAACTGATATATATATAAAAAATTAGCCGGGCATGGTGGCACATGCCTGTAGTCCCAGCTACTCGGGAGGCTGAGGCAGAAGGATCGCTCGAGCCCAGGAGTTTGAGGTTGCTGTGAGCTAGGCTGACGCCATGGCACTCATTCTAGCCTGGACAACAAAGCGAGACTCTGTCTCAAAAAAAAAAAAAAAAAAAAGATTTCTCCGGTAGATTGTGAGCAGAAATGATGTAGCAACTTCAGCTTCCCTTGCTTAAGAGAAATGCCGTGGCCCTGGAATTCTGCTCTTTCTCCCTGCTGGCTGGACTTGTAATGACTAGAGTGATATTAGAAGCCACATGTCAACAGTGAACCACTGAAATTTGAAATCATTATATGAAAAAGAGAGAAAATTCCTTATTTTTTAAGCTACTAAATGTTGGGGATCTCCTTGTCACAGCACATAACTCTTCACCATAACTAATATACATAATTTGCAGCTGTTTAAACTTAGAAGGGAAAATATTAGATAACTTCCAAATGTGTAGAAAAGTAAATAGTTGGTTTGTTAAAAAATTTCTTTTAAGGGATTCATAAGCAAAAAAGTTAAAGACTCCTAGAATAGTTCATACTCAGTAGTCTCTGCTTTTTCACCTTCTACTTACTCACCAACCAATTGTATTCTTGCTCCCTCCCTCTGCAGAAAGAGAAGATACAGGTTCCAAAGAGGTTGCTCTGTCTACAGCAAACTCTAGATATATCCAATGGCTTCTCTACCCATAATTCTGTCTAAGAGAATCTATCCCACCTTCAGCTCCTGTTGAGAGAGCTGCTCCATATTTGTTCCATGTGACCCTGTGTTCCCGTCTTCCTTACCACCAATCATGGTCATAGCAGACTTGGCCAGAGCGGGCATCTGACCGATGAGCAGCAGTCAGTCCATAGGCAGGCCAGGAACCTATGGTGTAGCCTGGCCCCCAAAGCCAAACTGTCTTTATAATATTACCTCTTTTGGGCATATGAACTGAAAAATATGAAACAGATGGCAAAGGAAGCTGCAGATGAGCATATGTCTAGAGAAAGGCCATGAATTAGTGCTGGGACCATTAAGGGTAAAGACAAACTCGGATTATAAACAAGTGGAAACTGTGAATTGGGAGAAACTAAGAGTTAAAGAAGAACTATATAGAAAAGAGAAAAGGAGTAAACCAGAGAGGACATTTCTGTTTCATGCCAGTTATCTTAAAAAAAACCTTCAACTGCTGGGCGTGGTGGCTCATGCCTGTAATACCAGCCACTCAGGAGGCTGAGGCAGGAGGATCATTTGAAGCCAGGAGTTCAAGACCAGCCTGGGCAACATAGCGAGACACCATCTCTTTAAGAAATGAAAAAAATTAGCCATGCATGGTGGCACACACCTGTAGTCTCAGCTACTTGGGAGGCTGAGGCAGGAGAATTGCTTGAGCCCAGAAGTTCAAGGCTGCAGTGAGCTATGATCTTGTCATTGCACTCCAGCCTGAGTGACAAAGCAAGACCCTGTCTCTTCAAAAGAAAAAAAAAAAAAAGGAACTTCAAATACATGGGGATTCTGGATAAAATATAACAGATATTCCTTAAAATGCATAACTGAGATAAAATAATTAAATCTGAAAGGGGGATAAGACAAAGAGAAAGCTGAAACTAAAGTGGTAAGCTTGCAGTAATGGTTTGGCTGCTATGAAGTAAAAACAAACAACAAGCATGGCAGGGATGAGAGATAAAGGGTCCCTCAGGGAAAGGGTGAACTAAAGGGATGTGATGAGGATACCTGTCATTTAAGCTTGACAATTATTGCCCTCAAGTAGAATCTATATCAGATGAGGAGCACAGATTAATAGTGTCTCCAATGTGACCTTCTGGGAAGCTGGTGCACTTTATGGTTCCCAGTGCTGTCTGAATAAATTGAGTCTAGTCCTCATTTTGGAGAGCTTGTCTGAAAGGCAATCAATCCAGCCTATTTTTCTATACCACCAGCTGGGGGCCATTTGTCTACCTCATGGAATGATCAAGTGATGGCTATGAGAATGGGGTAGGGGATGATATCCGGAGGTGCTGACAAGTGGTTTGTGTGAAAGTTTGTCAGCTAGGTCCCTCCTCTGCTGTTTCTGATAGACTTCTCAGTAAGATAAAGGACAATGGTGATCAAATTGTGGTCAGAGCTGTCTGGCGGAGGACAGCAGACCCAGAAGTCAGTTTAATTTAAAGTGCACAAGCAAAACAGTTATGGAGAGCCACACAGGACATTTTTCCTTCCTGAGGAAGGCTCTGGGGGTGATTCTAAAAGACAAAAGATCTTTTTTTTTTTTTTTTGAGACAGAGTCTCACTTTGTTGCCCAGGCTAGAGTGAGTGCCGTGGCATCAGCCTAGCTCACAGCAACCTCAAACTCCTGGGCTCAGGCGATCCTTCTGCCTCAGCCTCCCAAGTAGCTGGGACTACAGGCATGTGCCACCATGCCCGGCTAATTTTTTCTATATATATTAGTTGGCCAATTAATTTCTTTCTATTTATAGTAGAGATGGGGTCTCACTCTTGCTCAGGCCGGGTTCAAACTCCTGCCCTCAAGCAATCCGCCCGCCTCGGCCTCCCAGATTACACAGGCGTGTAATCCTAGAGGAGGCCTTCCTCCTCTGTTCATCTTGGCACCTGAGGTGTTCCCTCCCCAGGTGCTAGCATTGTTGTTCTCCCTCCACCTCCACAAAATTCATGTGGCCCATTCCAGCAGTTATAACTTCACCTTTCCCAGTCAT